GAAGTAGAAAATCTTATCATGGAGAATAATGAGCTGCTAGCAACCAAGTAAGTTTTAACTAGACATAAATTAAAGTAATCAAGCGACATATCAATCAATCAAAACCCACACAGAAATGCACTCAACATTGTCAAGGATGATTTGATTGTCAAAGTGGATGAGCTGACGGGTGAAATAGAAATAGTGCGTGAGGAGCTGAATGCGATGCAGCAGTCGCGCACGAAGCTGAGGCAGCGCATCAGCGAGCTGGAAGATGAGCTGAAGAAGACCAAGGAACAGGTGAAACAACAGAGTAAGCTGCTCCAGTCCCACTCACATTTGCACAGCTAATCATAAAATTTCAATCAATCTGACAGACACCGAGCAGGAGGAGAATGATGTGCCGCTGGCGCAACGTAAGCGATTCACGCGTGTCGAAATGGCCATGGTGCTGATGGAGCGCAATCAGTACAAGGAGCGACTAATGGAGCTGCAGGAAGCGGTACGCCTAACCGAAATATTGCGCGCCTCGCGCACAGTCGACAACTTGGATAAGAAGTCGAAACAAAGCATTTGGAAATACTTTAGTAATCTTTTTACGTAAGTTTACTACATATATTTCCAACTATCTACTGAGGGGTATTAAACGTTTATTTACTTTCCTAACAGCCCCTCCAACCGTCCGACGGAACGCGTCGCTGATGGTCTTGGAGGGGGGCCGATGTTTCGTCACACAGGCGGAGGAAGTCCTGCCCACAGCCATGGATCACCCAGCCGTGGAGGAAGCGACAATCGCCTTGCCCTAGCCGGTTCACAGCCGCCGCCGCATCCGGCCAGCGCCGGTCTTGCCAACGCACTAATCATGGCCAAGGACTATGCTGAGGAGGGGGCCTCAGAGCGCATCAGTGCCAGGCGGCGTGAGCAATACAGACAGCTGCGTGCTCATGTGCAAAAAGAGGACGGACGTCTGCATGCATATGGCTGGAGCTTGCCTATCAACAAGACCAATCAGGATGCCAATCCGAATCGCCATTCAGGCGGTGTACCTGTGCCCGTCTACTGTAATCCCCTGGCGGAGGCATCGCCGCACATGAAAGTGTTTTGTGCGGCAGGGGTCAATCTGCAAGGTGGCTTCACAAAGGATGGCCAATCGCTTATACCCGCCGATTCGCCCTATGCGCCACACTCGACGCTCAAAATAGCAGAGATAACCAGTCCAACGGCCGAACAGAGCGCCGAGGCGCTGGATCGCCAAATGGCGCGTGCCAGCCTTGAGACTCTGGAGCCCGAGACACAGCTCAGTTCGTTTGTATGGATCTGCACCAGCACACATGCCGCAAGTACGGTCAGTGTGGTAGACGCGAATCAATCGGCCACTGTGTTGGATGCTTTTCCCATATGTGCGTCGCATCTGCTATGCATTGCCTCTGTGCAGGGCGCCATGGAGAGCGACTATGCGTTGCTGGAACAATCGGAAGTGGTCAAGGCAGGTGAGATGCTGCAGCGGCCAGGTGAAGGTACCGAGCTGTGTGGCAAGGTGGAGTTCGTGCGTGTGCGACCCAAATCGGATCAGAACAGCAACAGCAAGCAAAACTCACAAGAGGCGGAGGAGGTGCCCGCGACAATTACAGTCGTGGGCGTGGCAGAGGCCAAAGAGGCTACTGAGAAATCGAATGAGCAGCTGCCCGCCGTTGATGCAACCGAGCCTTTGGGCAATGTGGAGGCTATAAAGATACGCCAAGCGCTGCCGGGTGCACCGCAGCGACTCTCCTCCAGCAACGTGGACAACAGCAATAATCATGTCAACAATAACAACAGCAGCAGCAATAATGTGCAATTCAGCATCAAATCTTTAAATCCCATACTGGGCACCAAAGAGCGCGATGAGCCGTTGATGAGCTCGGTGGGACCCACCATGTGGATGGGCGCCCAGGATGGTTGGCTGTATGTGCACAGCAGTGTGGGCCGTTGGCATGAGTGTCTGCACAAGGTGCTCCTGCCCGATGCTGTGCTGGCGATTGTGCATGTGGAGTCGCGTGTTGTTGTTGCGCTGGCCAATGCTCAGTTAGCCGTGTTCCGCCGCCAAACAGACGGCCAATGGGATCTGAATAGTTATCACCTGGTTACGGTCGGTGATCGCAATCATTCGATACGTTGCCTCTGTGTGGCCGGCGAGCGCATTTGGGCTGCGCATCGCAACAAGATCTTCATTGTTGATCCCATATCGCTAAACATTGTGCACTCGCTGGACGCGCATCCCCGCAAGGAGAGCCAGGTGCGCCAAATGGCGGCAACAGGTGCCGGCGTTTGGGTATCCATACGGTAAGGTAGCTTCATCAATTCGAAAACTATTTAATCCAACTGATTGTCTCTTGTACAGCCTGGATTCCACACTGCGCCTATATAATACACATACATTTGAGCACAAACAAGATGTGGATATTGAGCCCTATGTGTCCAAGATGCTGGGCACTGGCAAGCTGGGCTTTAGTTTTGTGCGCATCACAGCGCTGATGGTGTCCTGCAATCGGCTCTGGATAGGCACCAGCAATGGCGTCATCATATCTGTGCCGCTGGCGGAGGTGCAGCAAAAGTCATGTGAGCTGAGCTTCTGCATCCATTTATCTACACTATTATTAAAGCTGATTTATTCTTATTGCTTCCAGCTGATCCACATGGTCACATGCCTTTGTGCTGCATGGCCAATGCTCAACTGTCCTTCCATGGCCATCGCGATGCGGTGAAGTTTTTTGTGTCGGTGCCCATGCTCCAGCAGCCGAATGGCACGCTCACCTTTACCAACAAGCGACCCGACATGTTGGTTATGTGCGGAGGCGAGGGCTATATTGATTTTCGCATAAGTAAGTGGAGTCAGTGGCCGTCCAAGCTCTAGCTAAACAATTGGCCAGCCCTAAAAGTCAGCGATCTCTTATCTAACTAAACATCTATATATAAATGCAGTATATAGTATAATCGTTCCATATTCCTCTGCAGGACATGAAAAATACGATGCTAGTGATAATGCAGCGCATTTGATAGTTTGGAAAGTCGATACGTAAGCTTTGCTTTTCATTTTGATTTTGAATTTAAAACATTTTTGATTTGCGCCGTTTACGTAATTCTTATCGTTATTTTGTTTTTAATAATAATGTTTTTATTTCTATTTTTGCTTAGTTTTGCATTGTTGTGTATTTGTTGACTTAATTGCATTTTCTTTTTGTTTAACCTTTGCCGGCCGTGTAGTACCTTCAATTTGTAGTGCTCCGCGCAGCGACCTGCCCATGGGCCGACAATCTAATTGGAATGCAGCATTTGTCTAAGGTTTATCGATATTTATGTTCAATATTTTGTTTTCCTTCATTTCTGTTTACCACGTTTTACAACCTTCAAAAAAGTTGTCTGTGCACTATTTGTAACCATGTTCCAATGAACTCCACAACCCAGTTCACATGTGTGGAGTAAGCTGTAAACTGTGCTCTTTGGTGTCCTTGTGAATTGTCCTTCTGATGTGTTACCTAAAAACCAAACAAAGCCTAATACGGGATATAAATATCTACGTGTTGTACATACGATTCTTTATCTAACTTTCATTTGCGGTTCTTCAACTTTTGGTTGTAGTTTACCAATTGAATCTTTTAATGCCTTTTAATATTTCTTTTATTTTTGGTTAATAATTTTAAATTAAATTTATAATTTTTATATATATTTTTTTGCTTAATATTCCTTTACATTGCTATTTTACAAACTACCAAATAAACCGCGCACTCTCACTAAAATATTATATAAAAAAGGCAATTACTAATCAAAAACTAAATAATATATTAAATAAATATAATTCTTGATCCAGTTGCGCAGCTATATAAATATATCTAAAGTGATATGGATGCTGCATAGTTTTAAAAGCTTTTGTACATTATCTAAAATCAAGTGAAAATCTCTAGTAGTTTTGTCGCAGCAGCACTCACTAAGTGTACATACATGTATATATATTCCTGATCTACTAACTATACTATTTGCCTTTTCAGATGATAATGACATGGAGAACAGTATTCAACTGGAACCAAATCAAACAATCGAAAATCGAGGCGATAAAAGTTATTTGATTGTGTGGCATGTTAGTCAGCGTTAAAACTAATTTGTTTCTAAGTAATATACAAGTTATGCATATATAGTATATATATAGACATTTACAAATCCGACCCAAGCAGTTAAAAGTTTTGCAGGCTAAAAGAAAAACCAGAAATCTTTACCTTAATTTAGTTTTTAAAGTTCCCAACTTATTTACAGTACAATGCGTCCGAGCATTGCCAAGAGCATAATATATATTTAATTGGATAACAACCGATTTAGGTTAGTCAAAGAGACTTGTGCTAATACTTATGCTTCACATACTAGCTTCATATATATATATATATATTAATATTTAAAAAAATTAACCTAAATGTTATTTAACAGTGATAGCTCGCTATATAACTCAATGATATATATAAAGTATATATATATATAAAAATTTGTACATTTTATGCGAAAGTTATGTTTTTTTATACATATGTCCAAATACCTTAAACAAAACTAAAGATCCCGTTTAAAGCAATTTGTGCGTGATTTTTTTATCCAAAAAATTAGTTAATTTTTATTTAAAGTTACATATTCAAAAAGCAATTTCTAATTTAGATATTTGTTAAATAATTTTAATTTTTAGTTGAACAGATTACGCCTAATTGTTATTAATTTGTTTAATAATACGTAATAAACGAAAACAAGACCAACATTTCGATTATTATTATTTATTTATTTGTGTATTCCTAGAGGCAAAAAGTGATATTTATAGTTTTGGATTTTGTTGACTTTTTAAGCACAGATATTTACAAGGTTTTAAATATGGCATAACTAAGCGAACTTACGCATTAGCTTTGGCTGGAATCGAGCAACTATATAATGGATAAATATAACACCAGATTATGTACTGTAAATAAAGCCACAATTTAAAATATTTAGTAAATTATGTGAAATAAATTATGGATATCAATGGAATTTCTTGGCTTGGTAAAAGGAGAGATATTTTATAGGGTGGAATATCTAGAATTACAGCATAGCTAGCATAATACCCTATGCTTAGATTATAAATGCTTGCTAAGATTCACTCAACTTTTATTTTATCTAAAATCAGTTTTTTTTATTTATCTTATTTATATATCTTATATTAAAGTTCATTCAAAATTCCATTGTACATCTTCTCGGCATTCCTGTGCATGATCATCGGGTGGTGCAATGATTTCGACACCATCATCCTCTCGTGTGGAAATGGTGTCTACGTCGGAGCGACATTTCTTGATGTGATCCGTGATGGAGGCGTGTCTGCATTGCTTGAAGAATGCATGGGTCATCAGCTTCTTGGCGCTCCAACGATTCTCGGCACTGCGATTCAGACAAATTTCCACAAATTGATGGAAATCATCGGAGAGCACACGTTGGCTAAAGATATCGTAGGTTCTGCGGCTTGTTGCATTCTCGAATGGGACTTTTCCCTGATCATCCAGGAGCATGGTATACGTCGATCTATCCAATAGGGAGGGCACATTTCCACGTATTTTCTCTGTGTACATGAGTGTAGGTTGGGTCTCGAAATATGGTTGAATACCGTTAGCCAGCTCACATGCCGTTATGCCCACGGAATAGATATCCGATTTCTCTGTAAATCCATGTACATTTTGATCCAAAACTTCCGGTGCAGCCCAATTTAGATTCTTCTCGTGGGAGATGCCATGCAGGACGGGTTTCTTCTTGCCATGTTTTATAAAGCTACGACTCTCATGAAAATTAGATAATACTGCCTTATTGCTGTCCAATAGTATGTGCAGAGCTCTCACAGATCCGTGAACAAAATCATTCGAGTGTATGTACAAAAGGGCGGCGAGGACATCCTTGAATATCAGCGCAATCAGAGCTTCTGGAAAGCCGTTCTTGAATATACTTTTAAGCAGGAGCTGACATGTGCCAAAGCACATATACGGATGTAGCACATATACATCGGTATCCACAATGAAACTATTCAAAATCTTATTGATATTTGGATGATTGAATTGTCGACAACATTGAATTTCGGCAAAAAGTCGCTTTAACTCGACATCATCTTCCACTTCCAGTGAATACTTTTTGACAACTATCACACGATTGTTGACTGTACAGTTTGCCTTGTACACCGAACAGAATTTGCCATGCTTAAATGCTTTTGTAAATTGATAATCAGTTAAACTATTGCTACACATTCTTGTTACAATTTGTAGTAATTTTTTTGTCGAGTGTTCGAATTTCGAACAGCTGACATTGACAGCTGTGCCTCGATAAACGGCGTGGCTTTTGTAAATAGGCGACCTGTTTTTGCGCGCAATTATAGTATGCTTACGAATTATGTATATTTCTATTGGAAATGCTATAGATAAAATTGATAATGAGGTAAAATATTGATACTATTATAAACTCGTAGTAATATTTGTGCATCGTTTAAGGTGCGAATTTCAATCAGCTGTTGTTTAATGAAGGCGTTAGCTTTACAAATGGGCGGCCTGCGACTACGCAGAATTGTATTGACCGCAGGAATTTTGTTTCTCTATTCGAACAGCTGACGTTAACAGATGTTACCTGATGAACGGCGTCAGCTGTGCAAATTGACAGCTTGTGACTGTGCACAATCGCAAAGGCGAATATTCGAACACAGCAAATGATGCTGTTTATTTCTATTTTAAATGAAGTAATTTAAAACATTGAACATGGCCACGTTAAGCGACACCTTTCGTACCAACTGGCTGATTGCAACCTTTGGCCTGGGCTTATTTGTCGCCGGCTCTGTTGTGCTCTACTGGAACGAAGGAAGAGCGGTACACACGATGTTGGCTTTGGATGAGGCTTACGCAGACATCTATTCTATGCAGTTTACCGAGGAGGAGCAGGAGATGAGCTTTGAAAATCGTATTGTACATCTATCAGGGCCGATCATATGTGGAGAGCCGCTCACCGAGCCCGACTACAATATACAGTTAATGGCAGTGAAACTAAGGCGCCGCGTTCAAATGTACCAATGGGTGGAGGAGACAGTGGAGCACAATTTCGGCGAAACTGTGGGCACAGAGTCGGACACACGCAGCTATTACTATACACGAGAATGGCGTGACAAGATTGTGGAGTCGCGCCACTTCTACAATCCTCATGGTCATACGAATCCACAACGTTTCCCCATCGAAAGCGCCGTTCAAGTGGCCGATGCGGTTTACATAGGCAAATATGAGCTGGGGCCAGCTGTGAAGAACAAGTTCAACAACTACCATGAGCTGACCTCGGATATAAGGCCGGACGACAGTGGTATCAAGCTGCATCTGGGTCTGTACTATCACACCAGCGATGTGTTCAATCCAGAAGTCGGCGATCTTCGCCTGCTCTTCACCTACGCTGGACTGGAGGGCGAACTCTACAGCGTGGTGGGTCGCTTGCAAGGCAACAAAGTGGAGCCCTATGTCACTAGTCGTGGTGTGCATGTGCTGCTCGTCTACCCAGGCGAGATTAGTGCCCTGGAGGTATTTCGACTGGAGTACAGGACGCAGGTGCTGCATACCTGGTGGTGGCGTTTCATAGGCTGGCTCCTGATTTTCTTTGGCGTCAGCTGCAATACAAAGCTGCTGAGGGTTGTCTGTGAGTAGACGAGATAAGGATAACTAAAATAATATATATTTATATATTTCTACATATTTTCTAGCATACAGATATTAACTCTATATATATATTTAATAATCTAATTTCCGCTTCTCTCTTGCAGTGCTCCGTGTGCCTTTGTTGATTGGCTTGGCGCCCGATTCTCACTATCCGATAACTGGGAACTTTTTGATCGCCTTTTCGCTCTCGTTGACGATTGCCGCGGTGGCCTGGATACTGCATCGTCCTGTGATTGGGGCCTGCCTGTTCCTGGCGGGCGCCTCGCCCTACGTTTGGCTAACGCGCAATCTCGTGGATTATCAGCGAATGGATTAATCCGTTATGTTCTCGTAACTATTTACACATAACTTACTTGTTTTAGTGCCATCAATGTCAATAAAAAACTGAATAACACTTAAAAGCTAATTGCATTGCTAATCCTAATCCTAATTCTAGAACTCTCGTATGCCCGGATTTGTTGGTTCGCTTAGCTTCGCCTTGGGCGTCGATTCAGAGGAGGTGTGCACACTGGGACTTTGCGATTTATCCTGCTCCTCGTGGCAGGCGGCCGGCTCCTCGAAGCGTACGTAGGGCTCAAAGCTATTGTTGATCTGCACAGAGCCTCGATGCAGGTTATTGGACTCCGCCTCGAAGAGTATCTCATTGATGAATCTCTCGGCGAGCAGACGCTGTTCCCGGGGCAGGCGCTTTAGCTTGTATGTCCAGGTGCGCGAAATGGACTCCTCCTCAGGATAGGTACCCGCTAGATACTCGCAGGCTATATTCAGCAGCTCATCCGTGTTGTGAGTGCTCACTGTAGTAGTAGTGGCAGCCGAAGAATTGTTACCGCTGCTACTGCAGGGCGGGGTCTGCCTTGCTCGCTTTGCTGTTATTGAATAGTCGGGCTGCTGGTGCATTAAACCCGCTCCCCCAGCTGGTGGTGGCGGTGGTGGTGGCAGCGGATCCACCTTTTGTACATGACCAAACGATTTGTGAAACATCTCCGAGATGTTGGGCGTTTGACCCACTGCACTGCGATAAGAATAATGCAAGGAGGAGGCGCTGCTGCCACTACTATGCTCCATGAAGGATGCCGTCGAGCTGGAGTTTTCGTTGAAGGAGAAGCTGGGCTCGTTCTTGAACGTAGGATTTACCGCGAGAAACTTCTCTGTGTTCCTTAGGAAGTCCAGCTCCTGAAAGGTCCAACAACGTGGCGTATGCAAGCTGCCAGTTCGCATGGCGCTCTCCACGACCTTCAGCTCTTTGCGATAATTTGTGCGGAGCGTATTGATCTTTTTTTTCACGTCCTCAACGGTCGCATCACGTTTTAAATAATGGTAAATGGGCACCAGGCGCTGGTACGCCTCTGCCCGCTTCTCTCGATTCGTGTAATCCCGCAGAGAAGTGTCCCACAGGACGGGCATATCCCGATATGTCTGTATGAAGGCGCGCAGATAATGACGATTCTCCTCGGCTCCGGACATTATTTTAATGCTGTGCGTCGGCTGCTGCGGCGGCGGCGGCGGTTGATGGAGCATTATTTGTTATTCAAAATCCACTTTCAAACACTCCCTCTAAAAGGGCGGTAAAAATTTACCAAAATAAAAACAAAAAGAAAAACAAACGAATTTGCTTTTTCTTCTGCGTGCAAGTGAAAAAATGACAAAGTTATGTATGGACCTATTGACGAAATGTCAGATTGCTGTAGTTGTGTTAGTGGTGGTGGTTTGTTTGACAGATTGCTGGGCATATTGCTGCATTGACGTAACTGCGCTTGTGTGTGTGACGTCACAGCAACAAGTGTTGTTCGCGCTGAAGTTTTAATTTTACTGCGTGTGGCAACACTGTTCCGCCAATCGACTGATAGCTCTCAGCGATAATAAGTTTACAAGAAGGCAGTGCCATTTTGAGTATAACATTAACACTGTGTTTAAAAGGTGCGGCGTTACAGTGCCTTTGTGAGTAGAAGAGCAGGCAGCATTAACATTTATGTAAAATAAAGCGAGACGAACAGCCGTGCGACCGGACGTGTTTGACCGTTGATTTTGATTTTTAATTCCGACGCGCTTCAAAGAAAGTAAAAACTAAAACACGTACAAGGCGCAATGTAATTATTTATAACAATTACAATCTACATTGGTGCAATTAATGGTGTGTATGCTAAGTAAATTATAAACAGGATTGCAAAAAGTGCTAAATTAAAGTGACGCCGTCTGCTGCCGCTACTGCTGCATTCGGTGGAATTCGTTTGTGTGCGTTTACGCGTAAGTGTGTGTGTAAATTGTGACTGTTGGCGCTTGGCAGCGATATTTTGCGCGCCGCTTTTTAATTAACCGACGCGTTGTTCAATTTAATTGTGCAAAAACAAAGATGCTTTGGCATTGGGCAGTATTCAAGCTATGAGTAAATCATAGCAAACAAACCAACATTAAATAATAAAACAAAGAAAATCAAACACGAAAGCTGTTTCTAAGTGTATGTGTGTGTGAGTGTCCAAAATTGAATGCAATTCAAACGAAATGGAGACCATCGAGGAGCAATCAAAAACAGGTGAGTTTCAGAAATATAGCATTGAAGAGTAGGGCAATAGCAGCTGTTTTGCCTCACATCCGCTGTTTGTCTTTATTTCTATATAAATATCTATTTTTTCTTTAAATTTTCAATTTTTCAATGTCGCAGGCGTTAAGCACACCCATAAAAAATGTCACTGCCAGCAAATAAATATCTTTGCTAGTACTTTCTTGTTGTAGTCAGGGAATTTTAAGCTATTTTATTTTAACTTTTTGAAATTTATTTCGGTGTGAAACATATTTATGTGTCGTTGTGAATGATTTGCGCGTATTAAAAATGTGTGTGCAAAATGTGCGCACCCCTCGCCCCGCTGCGCACTCAACGAACCGGCACTGTACCCAGCAAAAACAATAACCAAAAGCGCAGCCGCCACGGCGAAGTTCCTTGCTGCCTGCCTGCCTAACAGTAGGTAGATCAACCAACAAATTGCGTGCGTCTCTCACCCTCTGCTCTCTCTCTTTCTCTGTTTCGCTTGCTGGTTTTTGTTATTGTTACTAGAGCCTAGTGATTTACCTACCACACGTTTGCATGTCTGCTTTCCCCTGCCTGTCCTTCTTCCCTCTTTCCGGGTATACATACTTAACAGGGAGCGCGCACATGCCAATGTTTTCGGCTGTCTGCTCAATGTTAATGGCATTCTTACACATACAAACGCATCTGCATATATGCATAAGTGTGTGTGTGTGTGTGTATGTCTATGAAGGCCTTTGCGTCGTCGCAACGTACTGAGCCAAGGCTCTGCCAGCTGACAACGTAATTTTATTACAAGATTCCACTTTGATGAGTCTTTTCAAGAAAAAACCTTTAGCGAAATATCAAAACTAGAGTCCACACGATGTTCATCATACATATGCCACTCAATTAGTTTTTCATCATGTCGCTCTGGCAAGGGGCCAGCGAAAACGAAGAAGAGGCAGTAGTAGAGTGACCGGCGCAGACAACGGCAAAGGGAATTTCCCAAGGAAGAGAAAAGAAGAAGAGAAGTAAATGCTAGCCATTATTTCCCTCTGTTAGCCACCACCTGTGAGGGTCGTTTCGCACTCTGCCCTTAATGTCATGTATTTGCATTTGTGTCTGTTTCGCCGGGGGCGAACACCTGTGGCTTCCGCTGACTAAGTTGTCAGGTTATCTTTTAGTTGCAGTTCAGAGTTTGATCCTTAAACATCAGCTTCAGCATGTTGCACTTGCCAGTGGCAGCAACAACTCAACATTCCCAGCTCAGCTTTGGCAACGCATGCAGCAAGCAGCGAAATTTCGTCACGGTTCGTCGTCAGGCTTGGTCGTATTTCACATACGCAGCCCAGGAGGAAGTCAAGCAGACGCATCTCAAACAGGCCGCACTATGTCAAGTGTATGAGGACTTTACAGGTATTTCCTTACACGGCTGAGTGTTCTTCAGGGTTGTTCTTAACGAAACTCACAAGCAGCAAACATATTTCATATCGAACAACTTCAGTCTGGGCATTTTGTGGTACGCAATTTAATTGAAATTGAAATTGAAATTCAGAACGTGTTTTTGCACTCTAAGGAATTTGGCGCAAACAAACTCAAGCAGACCAGAGAAACTCTGAATTCAAGCAGAAAGTGATATATAATATATCTACAATATATATATCTATATTATATATAATATATACATATATCTATAATATATATTTGTGTTTTGCATATACATAATGTATGTGCCATTTTAAACAGATTTTTATAAGATCTAACAAACTAGTAATAGCTTTCTGCAAGTACAAAGAACTTCCTTATTAATATTATCTTTTCGTTCAATAGTTTCCCCTGTCGTCAGTCATAATACTTTTAGTTGTGTTTACCTTATAATGATTATATAAAAAAAATATGTTTCTAGCTCAATTTCTTGGGAATGTAATTGAAATAAGTAACTTGTGCATTTAAATGGTTGTTGCAGTCGAATATTGGATGACTGAATTCTTAGCCGTGCTTTTTATAGTAATACGATAAATAAATGGGAGACTATATATATATATATATATATAAATGTAGTGTAGAATGTTCTCTGTGTTCTCCTATTAACGCAGTTGCTTGGACTGCCTCAAGTATTTCATTTGCTATGCGAAGACTAATAATTTTCATGGATTCCACTGTGAAGAGGTGTTAACTTTTGTAAACATAACAAACTATATATTTTACTTACAACATATATCTATAGAGACCATAAATTTCCATTGTAAAACTTAGTTATTCTAAAAATTTCATGCGTCATGCGGCGACGAGAAGAGCAACAACTCCTGTCCATTCCCCACTGTGAAAGCGGATGCTGCATGGGCCAGAGAGAGTGATGGCGGGGATAGAGATAGTCTGGACTTTGTTCAATTGCCCAAGTGGCGACGCGTCTGCTTCGACGGAGAGATACAAAAGCGCAATTGGCATCAGTTACAGCTGCACAATTCTGGATAAAATTAATGCACAACTGCATGTGCAATCAATTCTAGGGTAGCTGGGGCTGGGCTGGGAGGCTGAGAGGCTGGGCGGCTGTTGGAAAATTTGTGTGCACTTGAACAACTTGTGTAGAGCGAGCTCATCGTGTGGGCGGTGGGATTGGATTGGGTGCATTTTCTTTCTCTTTGCGTTGGCTTGTCAAAACTATGATGGCAATGAGCCGAAGGTCAGGGACGGGGGTCGGGCGGCTAGGTATAGACAACAAGCAATAATATTAATAGCAACAATCAGCACTTGGCGATCACAATTAAAATTGATGTCAACAGCTCGCAAAATTGCGTCTAAATAATCGACTCTGCCCTTCATTCAGTTGTGGATGGCTGCTGACCGAGAGATATTTCAGAGAGATCCTCTTGGTTCTATTTTGTCTTGCATTTTGTTTGTTTTCTTTTTGCGCAACAGTTCGCAATTTGCATAAACAAACAAATGTACAGCAAAAACAGCAACAAAAACTGTGATGGCCATAAATCATAGCGCCAAAAACTTTGAATACTCTCCTCCTCCTCCTCCTCCATCTCCTCCTGCTACTCTTGCACTTGAACAAAGTGTACTTAACAATTTTTAGTGCGCTGCTCAAGAGGGCGTGTGCGAGGGTTGAAGGCAACCAAGCAAGCTCATCAATTATAAACAAATCACATGTTTAGCTGTGATAGATTCACAGTATATCAAATGTTAGCTTCAAGTTAGAGTAATTAAATATAAAAGGTAATTAAATTTAGAGGCTAATTTGTTTCCTATATTCCAACTATACTAAACTAGAATAGGTACTGAATATAGACTAACCCTGAACCTGTATATAACGATTGTTAGCAAGAAGCATAGCAGGCCCCGATATAGAGAACCTTCTTGCCCTCTCTATCTGTTCGCGTGTCAGACGTTCCTATGCTTTATATATCATTGAAATGCCTTTATCAAAATATTCCAATTTCAGCCCAAATATGTGTAATTATTCAGCAATAGACAAAACATTTGCAAAGCCAAACCAAGTATACCTCAAGTGGAATTCTTTGTGTAGGAAAACAAAGCTAAAACTTACATTTCTCTGAAATAAAGCTAAACAATAATTATAAATAATGTTGATTTATTTGTAAAGCAGAAATTATGCAATTTGAATATCGTATTTGTATAAAACTATAGTTAAGCAAGTCAGTGCTTTAGTCGGAAGTGACAGACTAGGATATACCCTAACCATGTTATGACAATTATGCAAATAGATGAAGAATCTATCATCATACGCAACATATATATATACCTTATGGGATCTGGCACGCCTACTTTTGCCTGTTACATTAATTTTAACAAAAACAGCTTAAATTCAATGGGTTCAGAGTTCATTCCTTAAACTTAAACTTTGATTCATATTTTATAAAATTACATAATTAAGTTCCCAAATATTGATTCTACTTAAGATAAATGAATAAGAAATCTCCCATAGATCTTTTAGATTCGTTACTTTGCATACAAATTGTGAATATCGTATTTGAGCAAAGGCTGATAAACTAAAGAAACATTCCTGAGCTATGTCGCATCAGTTGTGCCCTCTTTGCACACTTCAGCAGTATAAGCTTCAAGCTATATATAGCAAGTAGCATCACTTGTACTAATGCCTGGTGTGTCGTTTGCCTTTCTGAATTTTGCAGAGATGTCCATTATGTCAAAGCTGCCCACACGCATCTGCCTGGTGGGCGAGGCTGGTAGAGATGCGGAGACGCTGCAGGCAGCCGAGAGTTTTGGCATGCCCGTCATTCAGTCGGAGACGGGGCAGGACATCATTAGCGATATGGATTGGCGCACATTCTATGTGCTGCAGGACTTTGAGGACGAGATCTTCGATGCCATACACAAGCAAAAGGAATGGTAAGTGTTTCCCTTCCATTTACTCTTTCTCTGTTGTCGTGTATCTTACTTTAGCCAGATCTTTGGCGTCTATAAATACACATCTGAACATAATGTCAGCAAATTGAATAAGACGCGTCGTGGCGTCACGGAGTGCCACGAGTGGAGCACCAACAGCAGCCAAATTTGAAATTGAGACATACGCATGTGCACTCTGCTCTGCCTCACTCCCAAACGCCCCTGCACAGAGGGTTGAGATTGACAGCGCCACAGCCAAAATCCGTTGACAACTCTCGCTTTCCAATATATTTTGTATACCCTGTAAATGTTGCTTTGCATGACTAGAAGGTGTATTGAAATGCGAGCAGACAGATGTGAGAGCCCCGTTAAAACGAAGTTGCCTTTTGGCCACATACAAAAGTGACTTATCAATAGTTGAGTAGAAATTCCCTATTAATTACAAACGTATCTTTGGCATGTCTGCAGGGTACATTGCAGTTGAGCACTCTCTGTCTCGCTTCTATTTTTGGTTTTCTGCAAATTTGCTACAAATTGTTGTCAAATTTGAGGCTTGCGCGACAGTTTCTTCCACGCTTGATTAATTTAGCCGCTGCGCAGTAATAGCCACATTTAAATTAAACAAGACAACAACAACAATGGCTATAGAGCACTTTAATGGGGAGTGTACGACTAGAAGATACCCTAAGCTAAGCGTCTCTCTTCTCAAATATATCATAGACAGTTTCCACAATGTCTCCTGAGATCTGAAAGCACGAAAATGTGAAGCGCCCGAGTTCTGAGTTCTTTACTTGAAACTTAGCCTAACTTTGTCAAATCTAAACTGAATGTGCCCAAAGGTTGCTATCGATTCTTATTCAGATTTAAAAAATATATTTATTTCCCAGTTAGATCGCAGCCTGTTAGTCCCTTTGCACATATTCAATGAGTTCCAGGGTATAAAAACATACAAAAAACATGCACGGTCTCTGCCTCATTAGAGATTAACAATAATAATAATTTTTTTTGTTTTATTTATTTACGATCATATTCAAGGTCAACAAATGCGTTTGTTGTGGGTTTGCAATTTGTGGCAAATGGCGGATGAAAGATGAAAGATGGAAGAGGAAAGATAGCATATGGTAGCTGGGGCATTGGGGCATGGCAAGGGGAGCATCTCTATTGCCTGTTCGGCTTTGCTTTCATGTTAAACATCAGTTCTTTTCCTTTTAGTTTGCTTTTCGCACAAATTATGTAAAAAAGAATTGGAGAAGAAACGGAAGCTGACGGGGGGCCTTACGAGTATTATTTATTTGCCAAAATTTCATTCATATTTCGTTTGTTTGTGTTTTCTTTTGCTGATCTTTTTTTTTCATTTTATTTATTTTTTTGCCATAAAACTGTTTTTAGCTAGTTTAGCATATAATTGGTTGATTTTTTATGGCCCCTTGCTCAAAAATAAATTCATCACAATTCTTATAAATAGTTGCCAATTAGTTGAGCATAATATTCGAAACGTATTTGTTGCCATTTGTCGGAAGCAATGCTTACTCACTCAAGTTTTCTGTAAACAGATTGCAAATGCAGATTGAAAATCCTATGTGTGGCACAGCCAACTTAACAAGGTGGACATTTAATTTTAGTGTTGCCAGATTGTTTAAAATAGAAAGCTTTTAGTCTTTAGTTCACTTATTTAGAAAAGTGAAAAGAGTATATTGGTACGAGTATTATGTAGTCGGTCCCTGCCAATTGCAACATCCCTACTCGTTTTCCATTATAAAACAATTATATCACTATATGTGCATGTGTGTGTAAATGTGACCCCTTCTCTGTCTCTGATTCCAATTAAAGTGAAGCCCTTCTTCTATAGAAGTTCGTACTAATTGCCATGTAACATATGGACTTTTGTCTGTGTATAGAATTCGGGCAAACTTTTTGGTGCTTTCCGCGAAAATTCATGCAAAGCGGCCGACAGCTGTTGAGAAAAATTTCCTTGAATGGCTTTTCAGAACACGCACACACACAGCCACACCTACTTAACAGCCACTTAAAGTCGCACAAATTGATGCCAAAAAGATCTTGTTAATTGTGACACAGCAGCATTGGCTAAATATTCGATCTACTCTATGCACTTAAAAGTACTCAGAGATATATTTATATAGAAACTGAATCATAAGAAAACGCTTGCATGTTGGCATCCCCCTTGGGGCATTGCCTATTTTGGGGACTCTTTCATTCAGCTACAAAAATCTTAATGAAAATTTGCTAACAGAAAATTCATGAAAAACTTTTTTTTTTTGTTTGCTAAGGAATTCGTTAAGCCAAAAACTTTGCGTACTTCCAATGAAATCGAAATGAATCGCTAGCGCGTTCACATGATTGCAGAGGTGGGTATCTATATACATGTATGCCTACATTCATATGTATGATGTGGGGGAGCGGGTGGGAGGTGCGCTACTGGGCTGCTGCGGGGGTGCGTCATATTGCAGCAATCTATTGGCGCCACGATTCTATAAAAAATGTTTTATATGTGGAACACGATGGCAAAGTGTGAAAAGCGTCGCCAACAAGTCGGAAATTCTTGACAAAAAAACAACAACAAATGAGAAAATCCTCAAATCGCAGAAAATAAAAATATATATAAACTACATATTTTTTATAATATTTTTTGATACATATATAAGATACACAGACAAGCTGTGCGTCCATATAATTTATAAGTTTCCAGCATGGCTAATTAATTTTGTGTGAGGGTTGGGGCTGCGGCATGGGGGATGCTGCACTGCTCAGCGCCTCTGCTGTCATTGACTGCTCTATAGTTTTGACCCTCGCAAAGTTCGAGTGTGGCTATGGCTGTGCTTGTTTTGGTGTTAAAGATCAGCGCACTTTACAAGCAACAAGTTCTTCATGGATTGCCCATAATCCGTAAACACATAATATATATCCATATATATATTCGATCTGGAGGTCAGCACTCTTTCATCTTTCAGCTGAGCAGCACGCGCTGCGCATTTCTCTGCATTGAGTAAGCATTGCGCCTGGGTTTTCCTTCTGCTCCGTCATATGTTTGTTCTACGAAATTCCACTGACATATAATATATATTCTATATATTGTATTGTCAAATATTTGCACTAATTCAAATGTCGCACCTGCTCACGCAGCTTTTCTACGCTTCTTTGTTTATCATTTTATGATTTCGGGTTTCTCTATGTTTGCGCAGCTTACAGAAACATTTTTCTCTCTGTGCATGTGTGTGTGAGTGTTTGGCATTTGGCACTTGAGTGTGTGCCATCAAGTGGCATTTTCTATTTCCACAATTTTTCATTCCATTGCGTTTCGCAGCTGCCGTCGCCGTCGCAGCCACCGCCGCCGCTCGGCATTCGGTTCAATCATTTTCCACAGTTCACGGCGCGGCAACAGTTGTGTTTTTGTTTAGTTTCAGCTGTGCCGTTAGAATCATCAAGACGTTTTTTCCCATATTAACAATAAATATTTTCAAATATAATATATATCAGTTTGCGCCAATCAGCCTAGGCTGAACCATAAAACTTAGCGTTTGCTTAAACATTTGTGTGTGCCGCTTCCACATAGATGGAAACCTATTTGTGGTAAGTGCCAGGTGCTGGAGAGTGTGCGTGTGAAAGCTGTGAGAAGTCTCGCCTTATCGTAGTGAAACTGAAGTGCGTGTTAGTTGTGCTCTGTGAAACAAGTCTTAAGTTTCCAAATCTGTTATTCGTAATGCCAACAAACTGAAACGAAATGCATTGTGCAATCGACTGTGAGAGTAACAAAATCCAAAGCTTTTGCTGCATGGCAGCTACCAAGATATGCCAAGTTTCACATAGAATGCAGCTAACTGTGCCAATTTCGTGCAGGGGTAAAAGAATGCCTAACTTAAAGGTATTCAGCATGCGTACATTGATTGCTATCCTAACTGAGCTAAGCAATTCTTTGCTTTGCTTCAATATAATATTTCATGCTAAATATCTCTAGATTTATTTCTATATTTATTCTTTAAACATGCACACTTCCTTAACCTAGTTCAGATTTTCTCTTAAATATCTTGAGATGCTGCTTCTTCGAATCGATTATTTACTATATGCCAGCTTGTTGCTAAGTCTACATATATCATTTTCTTATAATATATAAATTTTTATGAAAATTATTTAAAATATTCTGAGCTTTTCGAGCTTTTGCTAAAGAAAAGGCAGCAGAAAGAAAGCTTTTATGCATAGAAGAATGAAACTTAACTAGGCTTGATATAACTATTAAAAATCGTTTTAAACTTCCATTTTTTTTTCACATTTTATTAAAATTCAAAGAGCTCTCAGATTACTCATCTTCTGTCTTAAGTAAGTCCCATGTCAATCTTTAGCTCTTTCCATTCAATCAATAATTTTTGCCAAAAAAGAAAAAACATTTAATTTCCTGGTAATTTGAATATTTATACAAGTTGCGCTGCTGCTGCTGACCAAGCCCATTTTGAATGGCAGAATGTAGCGTATGTCCTAGCCGCAACGCATGAATGAATGATGAATGCATTGTACATAAATTAAATTCAATATTAAAAATATCATAAATACATAAGGCGGAGGGAGCCGCACAGAATGGCAGAGGGGGCGGCCACGCAGTCCGTAGGCAGCATCCGCCCACTTCCGCTCGATTGATTTGTTTATAAAAACTTCCGGTACGTGGCCAGTTGGATGCCCGTCAGAGCAGCCTGTACAGTCAGCCTGGCTGGCATGTGCTTCGTCATAAACAAAAAGCCCTTAAACAAATTGATTGCTGCATGAGATGTGGCTGTGGCTGTGGCTGTGGCTGTGGTTGGGGTTGGGGTTCAGTTTGAGGTAGCTTGTTCCAGTCAAAGTTCAGTGGGAATTCGTCTGGCTTTTGATTGTTGTTTACATACCCAGCCAATTGCCACCTGGTGTCGCGTGTGTATATCTATCCATCTATCTGTTTGCCTCTGTCGTTGTCTCTGTTTCCGAGCGACGCAACTGTTCTGGAAAGGGGAATTGTTAAGTTGCAGTCACTCGTCGATTGCCTGATCGCACGGCTGTGCTCGCGTCTGTCTCTGTTTGTGCAATTGAAAGCGCCTATAACCGATTTATAGTCTTGAGTGATTCGAATAATTGATATATGGCTACTGCAACAGCGCCGCAACGGCCAAGGTCAATTGGGGCATTACAAAAATCGCCTTGCATAACTCAAAAGTGTGCCAGATAAATATTTAACGATCTCTCTTTCTCAACAACTCGCCCTCTCACGCTCTCTTTTCACATTCTGCATTGCAGCATTTTGGGTCCACCCGCTTTGAAGTATGCGGCCGAGATGAAACAGACGCTGGGCCAGAACACCAGGCCCATTTATAACTATGCGATGCGCGGCGTAGTCACTTGCTTCACGGGCATACGCAAAAAGGATGAGCTGGTGAGTGTAACAGCTCAATAAATTCCCCCAAAAGATCCGAATATAATTATGAATATCTTTGATTGCAGACAAAGCTGGTGAATCTCATACACTCCATGGGCGGTTGCATCAAAAAGGATTTGAACACGAAGACCACGCATCTGATATGCAATCACAGTGGCGGCGAGAAGTATCAGTAAGTAGTTACTATAGAAGGGTTAGTGGAATAAGCATAAAGCGGAAAGCAAATCAAGTCACAACTGCAAGGACTGCAGCTAAAGAAGTGACTCAAAGCGTTTCAGGCATAATCATTTGTGTAGACTTGAAGAAGAAAGCATTAAGGAAACTTATCTAAGATTTAATTATGATAAATTGTGTAAAGATCTTAAAGCTTAAGATTCAATAATGATAAATTGTGTAAAGATCTTAAAGCTTTATTGAAAGCTTCACAAATGAAAGTTATGAAGTCTAGCATTAGTCAAGATAAATACAATCAAATAGAGAATTACTTCAAGCATAACTTTAAATATTCACTCATTGAGTGACCTAAAGCTGTTTTAAAACTCTAAATCTATATGTAACTGAAGACATTATTACTATAACTCTTATTTAAATGTCAGTCATAGCATCAGTTTTACAGCTTCTACCATATTGAGTTCTTATAAATATGATCAATTATCCTGCACAGATTTAAAGCTCTAGCTCTAGCTCTAGGCAGGCATCATGCTTAATTTAAAGCTAGATGAAAGCGCAAAGCTCAGTTCTAAGATCAGTCTTTACTTTCTATATTAATTGTTTCTCAACTTGCAGATACGCCAAAACCTTTCGTCTGACGGTTGTGCGTCCCGCTTGGGTGTATGCCGCTTGGTCGGCTCGCAATTCGTTAGGCTTTGAGGCCACGCAGGATAACTTCACTAAGGCGCATAGGTTGAAGGCGTTCGAGGGACAGAAGATTTGCTTCTTTGGCTTCCCCGCCGAGGAGCATCAACACATGGTCGATGTGCTGCTCGAGAATGGCGGCGTCTGTGCCGAGTTGGACGATCCGGAGTGCTCGCATGTCGTGAGTTCTGTGCCCCAAATAATTGCGGCTCTTTTTCCACCTAAATTGTTTTTTTTTTCTCGCTGTAATCTGCATGCAACTCACTCTTTTGGCATTTGGCTTAAACGTTTTGTTTGTTTGTGTGTCTTATGGCTGATTCTTGTGTATATATCTTGCAGGTGATGCCCAATACGGGCGCTGTCCTTACAAGCACTAGCTCTAGCTCTACTAGCACTAGCACTGATACTAACCACACCACTAACACTAAAACCCAAACATGCAGCAGCCCCAAGTCCCCCACAACTGACGCAGATTCAGCTGATGAGGTTGAGCACCAGCAGTATCAGCAGCAGCAGCAGCAGCAGCTGCTGCTGGACCAGGAACTGAACGAGCAGCAACGGCAGCCAGTGTCTGATAAGGAGAATCAGTCTGGGGAACTGGATGACATTCATTTCGATGAGCGTCTGTTTGTCGAGCTGGGCGACATGCAGCAGCCGGAGGAGCTGCCGCTGCCCGACTCGGCGGATGAAGAGGACGTGCAGGCCAGCACGCCGAAGAGCAGCAAACAGTCGAGTCTTATTATAGCCGCCGGCACGCCCACCAGCTGCAATGGCAGCCCCTTAGCGGCTGACGACTTTCAACGCAATGCGGAGAGACTGTCTCCCATCCTGATAGCGCCTGCCAAGCTGCTCACTATCGACACAATCAACGAATGCGACATGGAAACGGATGACCTGACTACCGCAGCAGCTGAGAATGACTTGAAACGCAAACGCGACAGCTTCGACAGTGTCTCGCTGATGTCTGTGGACTCGTTTGCCCTGCCCGCAAGCACCAAGAAACCAAAGCTGATACGCACGGGCTCCATAACGCGCACGCTGAAGCGTTCCATGAGCTTTGTGGCTGATCGCACGCCTATTATCAAAACGCTGCGCACACGTCGCAGCTCCATTGCCGTCGCCGATGCATCCACATTTCTGGGCAGCGAGACAATTGATGCAGATGATTCCGTGTGCTCGCTGGCCAGCATCAATAGCACGCTGAATGAGTCCATACGGAAGCCAGTGAAAGCATTGCGCAGTATTTGCGATCGGATTACGCGCAGCAGCAGTCGCCGTGCCGAGCGCGAGGCCACGCCCGATGGTGGCCCATTGGATAGCGGCTTCAAGACGCCAAAAGCACCGTTGCAACGTTTTGGCGTCGGTGGCAGCGCGTCAGCCACTAAGAAAACAGCAAAGCGTCTCTTCGGACCGGTGGGCGGAGGCGCCAGTGCTGTCAGTTGCTCCCTAACATTAACAACTAACAATGCCAATGTCCTTGCCAAAGATACAGTCAACGCCATTCCCTGCTCTGCTACTACTGTTACTGCCTCTGACTCAGCCTTGTTGCCCTCGAAACTCAGCTCATCTGCAACAGCAATCACCTCAGCATCATCATCTGCATCACAAACCACATCATCATTGAACGCTGTGCCCGCGGATGCGCCCAAGCTGACAGCGTCGACATGCGCTGCCGACGAGCAAATGGTACTTAAATGGATAATATCCTAAGCCTAATAGCTTGGAAACACTTTGAAACGGCACAGCATAGACTTCTTATAGGGCATTGTTAGGCTATTTAGAAAAAAACTGCTTGGAATATAACTTACTTCTATCCGATAAACTCTAGAGCTTAACATTTGTTAAGATTCTCGCATTGAACTATGTTAAGATTCTCGAATTGAACTTTGAGATCCTCTCGAGCCTCGATCACTTTTCATTTGAACTTAAGCAGTTTCTTTCCTTTCCATTTGGCTTCATCTTACGTGTGAACTTCTCTATTTCGTACGCTTCTCGCTGTGCCCTTTGCATTGAAACATTTTGTGCTATTTTTTTGTTCGTTTAATTCGTCGCGCATTTGCAACATTTTTTCAGCTGCTTAACGAGCTGCGGATCACGTCTTTCTTCTTTAACCATTTTCAGGCCAAATTTGACAACTTTGAAGCAACAAATTTAATTAAATTACATGTTAATTGTGTTTATGGTTATGTTCTGTAGTTTTTTAAGTCATAATTTGGGTGCGGTGTTTGATCTGCTAAATATCTTTCTCTCTCTCTCTCTCTCTATCTAATGCTAATGTCTCTATTTTCCAACTGTTTTCCGAGCACACACGCAACAACAACAGCACAATAAATATTAACCAACAGCACACGTTCCGCTTGAATAAATGTTAAAAATGCCTTCAAGAATGCCCAAAAAACCAAAAACAAAAAAACAAAAAAATGAAGAAAAACATTATAATAATAATAACAAATAAACATAATGTACATAAAGGCTGGGCGCTTGGTATAGACTAACAAATATTTGCACAAATGTTTCAGTACATTCGATGGCAGGAATTTTTGAGATAAACAAGTTCATATTTTATTTGCTTTTTCTATATTTTTCTACTCTATTGTTTTATGATCTTTGTTTTGCTTGCGATTTTTATGCCCGTTTCAAAGTGTTTGCCAAAAATGTGCATTAAAAATGTTTTGTTTGGTCATATTTTGTTCAAATTGTTGAACACGAAATCGAAATTGAAATCGAAATCAAAATCAAATTCTGATACCGATTCAGATACAGATACAGCTGCTATTATGTATATCATTTATTGTGCTGCTCTGCTCTGCTGCTGGTGCTGCGTTTGTGAACTGTACAATAGATTTGAATTAGTTAGACGCTTGATTTAAGATTGTATTGAATGCATTTGGCAACAAACAAAACATTTTTATTTCTATCACATTGCTCACATTGCACATTTTCATATTGTTTATACTTTTGTTTATTTGCTTGCTTGAATGGCAATCAAATTGAACTGGACTCACTTACTGATCTATGCATCTATTGCCCGCCCATCAGGTTGTGGATGAGCACACGACTGTGTCGAAGCCGGAGCCCAAAAATCACAATACTCACATCCTGAAATCGGACTGGTTCTGGTATACCATACAGAATGGCTATGCCAATGAGATGGACTATCTATTCGGCGATGTAAGTGCAATCGAATCCCGGTGCCAACTACAAATGTTAATCAATCTGCCCTCAGTACTTGGATAGCATTACGAACACGCCCAGCACAGATCGTCGCGACTCGCTGCCCATTAGCTTTAATAAGCGGAAACGGAAGCGTTTCTCACAGCGCATTCAATTGGAGGGCACACCCTTGGGCTCGGGCAAGCGACGATCTTCAGTCTCAGATGCTGGCCTGTTGTCCGTCTCGAATAGCTTCTTTGACTGCACGGCCAGTCCTGATAAACTGGAGAATGATAAGCTGTTGCACGTGGAGCCAGAGGTTAGCGAGGCCACGCCCACCAAGAAATCCATGCGCTTCAATCATTTTATGGACTTCTTTACCACGGAATCCAACTATGTGGGCATCCTAGATACCATTCTGAATGTAAGAGCAATCGCTAGGATTGTTTACCAAGCAATACTCAAATCCTTCTCTCTCTCTTTCCGTGCAGCTGTTCAAAAACAAACTGGAAGAGCTGGCCGAAACGAATGATTCGCTGCTTAATAAATCGGAGATCAAATCAATCTTTGGCAACTTTCTGCCCATACACGAGGTGCATCAGAGCATGCTGGAGCATCTGCGCAAGCTGCATGCCAATTGGCGCGAGGATTGCCTCATCGGCGATATCATTATACAGCATCGCGATGAGCTGATCAAGGCCTATCCACCTTATGTGAATTTCTACGAGCAGATGAAGGAACAGCTGCAGTATTGTGATCGCGAATATCCACGCTTCCACGCCTTCCTCAAGATCAATCAAACGAAGCCGGAGTGTGGTCGGCAGAGCCTGCAGGATCTCATGATCCGGCCCGTGCAGCGGCTGCCCAGCATTAGCCTGCTGCTAAATGATATATTGAAGCACACCGGTGGCAGTAATGCAGATCATGCGCGTCTCGAGGAGGCGCTCAAGGCCATCAAGCAGGTGACGCTGCACATCAACGAAGACAAACGGCGCACAGAGTCGCGCATGGCCATCTTTGACATATTCAACGACATCGATGGCTGCCCAGCGCACTTGGTCAGCTCCAATCGCAGTTTCATCTCCAAGTGTGAGGTCAACGAGCTATCCGATTCCCTGAGTGGGCGTGGCGATAGTCTATTGCTCTACTTGTTCTCCGATTCCATAGAGCTGTGCAAGCGCCGCTCGCGCGGTTTCAATACGGCCAAATCGCCCAGCACGGCCAAAACGCACAAACACATAAAATTGATATCGCTGAATACGATACGCTTTGTCATCGATGTTACGGACAGTCCGCGTGCTTTTGGGCTGCTGCAGCGTGGCGACAAGGAGAAGCTCTACACCTTCAGCATCATTGACGAGGAAACGGATAAGCTGGTCTATCTCAAAAAGTTGTGCATGCAAATTGCAGCGCATACGTGTCGCACAGATGCCGTGAGTATTTGATAAGCCAATAAACTATATGAAAGATTGAACTTATTGTTTTTTGTGCAGGACAAAATGATGCTGAGCCGCACTTCGCTCGAATTGGAGGTGGACATCAGCGATGTAAATGTCAGCACATTGAGCAAGGCCTTCAAATTGGCTGCCAAGACGCGTTTAAAGGTGCGTTAACTAAGTTATAAGATAATCATATGCAACTAAAACACTGTTTTGTAATTTGGCAGGTGGGACGCGCCTTCTCCTTTAACAAAACCCCCAACAAGCTGAAACGCGCAGTGTCCACAATGATGACATCGCCATTCGGCAGCACCAACTCGTTGACGCCCGCCTCGCAGCTGGCGCAGATGCGTCTGGCCAGCTGCACCAATATTAATGTAAGCTCTAATGGTATATAGAAATATATGTATTTACTATATACAATGCTCATTAACAGGAAGTAGCTGATGAGGATTGTGCCAGCATGCGCAGCAATTCGCCATCCACGCAGTCGGAGCTGCTGGTCGTGCCGCCTCTATCAGTGCAGCCCACGCGCAAAAACAAGGCCGTCGTGGGACGAATTTAGCCGGCGACGCTTGAGCCTGGCCCTGGCTAATGCTCAACTCTCTCAATAAGCGTATTCCATATGAACTTTTTGTGTAGGCTTTTAAGTATGTCTCGGTACAAACACACTCGCTTGTACGCATGCGTAATCATAATTCATACTTTCGATATTCGTAAACTCTAAAACAAAAGAAAGAAAAAAAAAAATCACGCGTCCAATCAGTTTAAGGTCGTAGTTTTAGAACTCGTATAAGATTTAATTGTCGCGCGCGAATGTTGAAGCGTTTGCGTTGTTGTAGGCGTTCTCAATGAATTTGTATTTGTAGCACTCAAGTCTATGAATAATTGTAAATAGTTTTCTTATTCGCACATATATACATATATATAAGTGTATATATATAGTAATCTATCTATATGTTCAATGTAATCGTATAATGCAACTAATCGTATTAGTGACTTGAAATCGCATTCACGCACTGAAAAGCAAAATCGGTTCGATTTCATCTTTGTTCGGCATTGCAAAAGCTGTGAATGTTTACTGAGTAAATTTTTTTTAAAAAAAAAGTACATAACGATTAATGTATAAACTCATTCAATTTGTTTGAGACAGAGGCATGTACAGCCAAAACGTTGTATTGTAAGAGCATGCTGATTTTTAAGATATAATATACGACACAATGATATAAAAGCTAAAAACTAAATTGCAGTTCTTGACTGTTGCCTGTTCTGTGTGTATGGAATGGTAATTGAAAAGACGTCTTATGGCCCCTTCAACAATCTGCGGCGAACAAACATTTTTATTAAGAATAATAAATAAGGTACGGTAATTTTTTTAAGCTTGCTGTCAGAATTTGTTTGTTGAATTTCAAAATACAATTTGGGTCAAAAATATATCCAATTAGGTTCTTATACTATTGAGCACTTATACTACGCTAGTCTTATATGCTGTACATACGCATTTATAAAATGTATAATCATAGACTATATACAGATCTGACCCCAGAATTTATTTTTGACATCGCATCCGAGTGCAGCTGGTATTGCAAATTGTGCGATTGTAGGTGTAATAAGGTTTTCAACTTAAAACCGATCTCTAAAACAGCCAGCTCGTTAGTTCCATTGGCCGTCCAAACAGCTGCAAGCGTTAAATGGAATCCTAACACTTTTAGTTTCAGATTATTTGCGTACTCACATATCTTATTGCTTTTCGCACGTATATTTACTACAGCACCGCAGATTTCACTAGCATATTCAAAGGACTCGCCAACCATCATTAACAATATATCCAACCAAATGCGATCCAAGGCGTACTTCGAACTCTTGCCGACAGTAAACAGCCAGCGGCCCCCCTTTATATTTGCTTCGTCCTCCCACATGGGTCTGTAGATCAGATATTTGGAAACGCTTCTGGAGTATTATAGACAACTACGCTTAGCTTACTGTATGCCTTGTTTGAACATATAATAATCGCTGCCAATCTTAAGTTCGGATGGTGTTTTGATCGTATAATACAAGCTGAAAGATTCACGAATCTCACTAGCTTTATAAAGTTGGGAAATTCTCGATACACATACCCCCAAAACGTTTCGATGCTATCAATTTGTGTGATTTCATTGAGCATATCCTTCCAGTGTTTAGTTCGATCGTTCTCTAGGTACCATAGCGTCCAGACATGCTCTAACGGATGTTTGTATTCGATTTTGTACGTCTGTTCACTTTGCTCCCCGGGCATACTTTCCAGCTCATGGTCCCGATCCTTTTGCAGCTCGTGCTTTTCGTTATGGACTGATTGTTCTAAGCGACTCTGCAGAAATTTATTTGGTTCAAAGACCGAAGATTCAAACGTTTGCATTTGGGCGCTGGCCATCCTAATTAATAATGTTTGTAGATAACACCTGTCTACCACTCTTAAAGAGTAGCAAAAAGTTAACGAAATGTATATTAGCGATGAGTGCGTTTGCCGGAATATTGCAAAAAATACCGAAAAGTTTGGAGCGAAACGTAACGTGCCGAAACGAGGAATTCTAACAATCAGAAAGAATGCAGAATGAAACCGAACAATTGACAAAAAAAACAAAGGAGATGTCAAAGAAAATTTCACCTGAAATCAAGCCTGCTGCGTTATTATCTAACATTCTCATTCATAAATTTTACACATTTTAAGCCAAATTTAACATTTCCTTACGTTTTACTTTCTTTCTACTAATCATTGCTGTTGTCATTCATAAGTGTTGAGCAGTGTCAGGCGAGCAGAATGAACAAAAACAAGAGAGAGAGCGAGATGTCACTATTGCTAACTGCAGCAGAGTGTGGCTGCACTGTGTGCTGTCTGCAAGTGGGAGTGAGCACAATAGTTGAGCTGCGAGCAAACTAAATGGTGACAAATCTATCCCATTTGATTGGCCTAACATCCAAACGGATATTCGCCGCGCTCATTAGCATAGGCTTTTGCTCTTTGCTCTGCTGCTCTCTTAGAGTTTTCGCTGATTGTTTTTAAAGATTTTTGTAGTTTTACTTTAATATTTATTTAGAGCTGCAAATTATATAAATACTGCAAAACTTAAGTTAAATCTTTACAAAAAAAATTAAATTAAAAAATGCGTAGTTTTTAATGATAAGAAACTGAAACTAAATACATTTTTAAAACATAATTATACTTGAATAAAGTACACAATTTTAAACATTAAGGAACGGCTACGAACTAAACGACAGGCACTAGCGAAAGGGAAAAACAATAACTAAAACTTAATTTTAAAATGGAGTTCGAAATGCGTGCAGCCTAGACCCAGAGCACAGCGGCTGCATCCTCGTTGGAGAGCGTGGAGAAGCGCTGATATCGATTCGCATTTCGATAGGTTTTCGCGGGCGATTGGCAGTTCAAGGTGCTACTGCTGCTGCTGCTGCTGGGCGAATGTTGCGGCTGCAGTGGCACGCCCACCACATTCAGCGCCGACTTCAGCGTCGAGTTGCGACTCTCTGTGGAGACCGAGAGACGGCAACTATTGCCGCCTATCAAGGTGGAGCTAAGCGGCAGACCCACATCATGGAAGGAGCTGATCGAGCTGAAGCCGCTCTCATCCTCTGTGCTGGAGCCATTGTGCTGATTGTTGCTGACAGCTGTTGGGCTCTGCTTGTTGCTGCTGCTGGCCGTGTGGTTCTCTTCATCGGTTTCTATTTTCGACGAGGACGAGGCCGTCGAGGAGATGGTGGAATGCACAGAGCTATCGGTGGAGCTGCGCAGCGATAGACGAGAATCTCGCATCGTATTGGCGCGCAAGAAGAGGAGTTCAGGGCTAACAGCAGACGAAGTGGCGCTGTTGTTGTTGATGCTGCTGCTGTTGTTGCTGTTGCTGTTGTTGGTGGTATTGTTGTTGTCAGCTGGTTGATTGAGCGTTGCGTCCAGGCTAGTGGAATTGAGCAGTGGCGGTGCCAGCAGCGTCAACGCAGAGTTGGCTTTCTGACTCTGGCTTCTGAGTCTCTGGTTGGCAGCTGCACCATGTGGCAGCATCGTGAGATCCGGCTGCTGCTGGGATGTGTGCAACAGATTGCGTATGGTGCGTGCCAGACGAAATGCCTCCTGATTGAGCTTCTCCTCGGCTGCCTCGGGCGAAGACAAACGCGACTTGCAGCCGCCTAGTTTCTTGGGGGAGCGGCGCCTGTGGACGAAGCAAGTTAGATTAGCAAATTTGAAACTCTTTGAATCACCCTCGCTCTCACCAGGTAAAGTCCTTGAAGGCATTGTAGCTGCCTGCTGGCGCAATGCTCTCGTAGCTGTGCTCCTCGTTCATCGTCAGCATCGATTTGTTTAGCATCAAATTTGTGCTGCTGCGCGCGCGCAGATACGAGGCGGAGTTCGAGGCCGAGGCGGTGGAGCTGCTGCAGCCGCTGCCGCCCCCAGTTGCATCTACAAGGCAGCCATTGGGATCGCTCTGCACACCCTGCACATGATGCAGACTCTTTGAGCGCGAGATTTGCTCGCCCAGGCCGCTTAAGCTGTGTCGATTCGTTGGCTGTTGGCGTTGCTGTTGTTGCTGCTGCAACTGTTGCTGTTGCTGCTGCTGCAACTGTTGCTGCTGCTCAAAGCGCTCAAAGAAGCGAGCAACTTCCTCCATGACAGCACGATACATTTCACAATTGGTTTCGGTCTAGAAAAGGGTGGAAGAGATAAGTTAGTTTGGTATAATTTGGGAACTGTTCATCATGTGCTATTATATAGCTGAAAGTTATTAGAGAACTGCCTGGGCTGAAAGTGGTTGGAGTCAATTTTAACTAACTTCCATTAGCCTATTCCCAGCCACTCAAAATTGTGTCATCATTAATATATCTCTGACTACACAAATTATTTAATTTCACCTCATTTTCTGAGCATTCAAATTCTCAAATTCCTGAGAATTGCATAGAACGGCAGCATTTAGTGTGAATTTAAGTAAATGCAACTGGTTATTAAGCCAATTGAGCTACGTTTATACCTATAATTGTCAGCATGAATAATCGCTGGATTATGCAATGATATAGTCGCGCGCTATGCATAAACGCTTTGGCTCTTTGTTTGCCATAGAAGAAACGTCGCCCTGCCTGGTACTCCACGCCCCTAGTCTATACAGCTCTACTGTTCTATTCCAGTCGTCGCTCTGCCACCTCGTATATATATATATAATTTAACGCTTCGTCTGCTCCGATTTGAAATTCATTTGCAGCAATTTGTTATGTTAATTAACTTAAGTAACTTTGCATGCAAATTTCCTCTTCTTCGTCTTCTTCTTTGTCTTTGTTTCTAGAGTTCGAAATTCTTTTAATGACGATTTTATGCGCGCTTTCTGAAACGAAATTTTGGTTTCATTTGTTTTTCTTTTTAACTGTTTTCTCACTGCACTCATAACTCTTCAGATTGGGAGTTTTTCACTTTTCCATTCATTCGGGCAAGGTCGTTGCCACAGTAAACTCTCTATTTAATGAATTTATGATATTCGATATTTATCTAAAGGCAATTTATAGATTATGTTAATTTTCAGTCTATCATAGATCGTTGCATTTGTCGAGCAGTCGCCGCCGCCCCCTGCCACCTCGTGCTTTCCACTCGTTTCACAACTTTCACTCGTACAAAAATCTGACTTCAATTTCAGCTTGGCGGTCTTTAGCCAGTTGGTTGGCCAAGAAATTAGACTAGTCTAATTAACGGGCGGGCACAGCTGCCAAATTGGCAACACTCAAAGTGTTAAGGATGCCACCTGACCAAAACGGCAGCTGCTCTATGCCACACCCACTTGCTGCATGCCACATGGCCAAAAAGAGTTTCACACGACGCCCAAATGAGGCAAAAGCTCAACACCAACAACCAACAACAACAAAAACTAAAAACAAATGTTGGCAATGCAATTTGGCAGCAAGCGATTTTAGCCAATGTTTTGTTTTTGGTCTTTTGCTTTTGGCCAGCCTGCTGATTACGTAAGCTACAAAATGTTTGTTGCTGCTGTTGCGGTTGCTGATAATGTTGCTGTTGCTGCTGTTGTTGCAGCTAGTTGTTGTTAATGCTCGTTTTGCCGTTTGGCAGCAGCAGCAGCAGCAGCAATTGCCGTTTAACGTTTTCCTGCTGCGTGTTTATTGGTTTGAAGATGGGAATTACAAGTGCCAAAACCCCACACACAGACACACACACATCTTATACTTAGACTCACACACACACACACTCACATATCTGTGTCCAAGATTTATGCAATTGCGCAAAACAACAGGTTTAAGTGCGCCGTTTAGGATTCCAAATACTTTTTAAGTATATTAATTATGTTGTAGCTAATGCAGATATATATATATATATATATATATATATATATATATATATATATATATATATATATATATATATATATATATTATACATATATGTATACATATATACATATACATATGCATATAAAAGTAGTTTTAAGTGCTAATTTAATTACATCTCCTTATGACATTCTTGCGCAAGTTTATTATTCTTATGCTTGCTGACGATGTTAAAGGAGTATATTAGTTTTGTGCAAGTGAGCCTAAATCAATTGATGAATTTAGTTAAAATATGCTCGCTTACAGCTTACAAACAGATATATATATATATATATATATATATATATATATGTATATGCTTTTATTCATGTTGAATTGCAGTAAGAGAAGAAGAACTTGGATAATAGAATGGAAAGCGTACAATCAGAGTTCCAGAGGCAAGACCTAGAAGACAGTCTTCAACAAAAGCTTGTGCAGCAAACTCGAAGATATCACGTTCAAGGAACTGCGTTGCTAGTGACGTGGACAATAAAGAATCTCATAGATATAGTATATACCATACTTAAAATATAGTTGAGCGCGTTGAGGGCCTGGCAAAGCAATAAAAACTATATCTTCCACAGCATGATGTGCCTACAAAAATATTGATATTCGAATAAACTTAGTTGTTCTGGTAACATGCAACATTATGCTGCAGCATGGAAATCGATGTCGTAATTATCAGTAAGTATCCATATTTGTAGTTATTTTAGTAATACTAAATTTTGCTTTTTTTATATATAATATAATTATTAATTCATTTGGATCATCAAACGCTTAGTGTATTCAATGATACTGAAGTAGCCATAAAAGCATAAAAATCTAATGAAACTAAATTTGAAATATCTTCAAAAGTCTCATAAGAGTAGACAATGCTCCATCAACAGATGTCAATGATATGCAAGAGACAAGAATTTGCAGCAAGTTGCTGCAGCAACAACTCAGTTCGCATGGTTTGGCCAGGCAGCGGCAGCTTTAAGCATGTGAAAGTGTTGTTCTTGTTGTTGCTGTTTGCAAAGTGCTTATTTAAAGCACATTTGACAGGCTTAACGAATCGAGTTCCCTATACACTGTGGCTCTCTTACTTTTTTGGTCACTTCCTGCCCACAATTTGGTTCATTAAAAACCCATCTAGAGCTGGGCTGAGCTGAGTTGGGCTGAGGCAGCATCCGCTCCACACACAGACACAGAGTGTGAGTGAGATGGAGGGAAAACTGTGCGCATAAATTAAAGTTCCTGCCTTCAATCAATCGATGGCCATCAATCAAAGCGGCTCAGGGATTGAAACTCGATGTCTGTGCGCCTCGCAGCTCTGGCGGCCCACGCTTCATTTCCCTGATTTGTTTGCTGTTTAATGAAGTTGTAGTCGATGTTGTTGTAATTTTTTGCCGCTTGTCGCTGCTGCTGCTGCTGACCGGCTTTGGCTGCTGCATAACCCAGTTTCGCCTCGGTTTTTTTTTGCGCCTTGTCTTAAGTTTTCCGGCGGCATTCCAAGTGCACGAGAGCAGCGAGAGAAGTGTGGAAAATATTTATCACTGATTAGATTGCAATTTTCTGCCGTCGGCTTTCCAAGCAGGCGCATTTAAAAGCGCATTAAATCAAAATGAAAGCGTAAATATTGTTGTAAGTTGATGAATTAAAGAATCTGAAATCAGTTGCTCGATTGAAAGTGTTGCAATGTGTGTAAACAGCGCGCGCCATCTGCCATACGCAGTATCTGTGGAAAGCTGAAGGTCAGCATGGTTCAAATATGGCTTGGAAACTCAATTGAAGAAAACACAGTAGAAGAAGAAGATGATGATGAAGAAGTTGAGTATTGAGCACAAGCTACGCTTAGCTATTAACCAGGTTAGTTGAAATGCGACCCAAATACTTGGCAGTTCTTGTCTTCCCAATTTGAAGCTGATCAATTAGTTACGCACAAGTTGGGTGGGCAACAAATAAAATAAATGGAAGATTGTTAGATTAGATATATTCTAGTCTGTTTCATTGAAATAATAGATTATGAATAATCATTTTGAATTCCTTTAGATATTTTATTTTTTTTTTTGTGTTTCCTGACTGTCATCTTTTATCTTTTATTCTTTCTATTTTCTAGCTTCTTCTAGATTATATTTTCTTCTATCCTATTCAATTTTATATTCTCTTCTAGCTTCTGTCATCTTCTAACTCCATCTCTCCTCTTCTATCTTCTATCTTCTATCTTCTATCTTCTATCTTCTATCTTCTATCTTCTATCTTCTATCTTCTATCTTCTATCTTCTATCTTCTATCTTCTATCTTCTATCTTCTATCTTCTATCTTCTATCTTCTATCTTCTATCTTCTATCTTCTCTTCTATCTTCTATCTTCTATCTTCTATCTTCTATCTTCTATCTTCTATCTTCTATCTTCTATCTTCTATCTTCTATCTTCTATCTTCTATCTTCTATCTTCTATCTTCTATCTTCTATCTTCTATCTTTTAACTTCCAACTTCTTACTGCTAACCATTAACTTATTCTATATTCTATCTTTTTCCATCTTCTATAACTAACTACTATTCTTTTCTATCTTCCATCTGCTAACTTCTTCTATCTTCCATTATCTTATACAATATTATATTTTAAATCTAGTAAATCTAGATCTACTATATGATGAATATGAAAACGAGATATTCTTTCATATTAATTCATAGATTGTAGCTTGGATTCTAGCTTTTTTTGGGATTTAGAATATTCATAAATTCCTTTTTTATCTAAGAATTTAATAAATTCTACATGAAGGCGTAGTAGTTGAATTACTTACTCTAACTTTGCAGAGAAGCCTTTAGAATACTTATAAATTTGTTTAAAACTATAGCTCAAATTTATTATATCTTCTATGACTCTTCTAGACTCTTCTAGCTAAAATGGCATTCTCTTTTCTAGATTCTTCACATATTTCGTAAATCGAACTAAACTTTTTCCGTTTTCCCATTATCAGCTTCGCTTTAAACATATTTTATCAGGCAGCTGCTGTCTTCACGACTTTAACAACTATTTTTCCTCAATAATTTCAAGTTGAAATCTTTGTTAAAAAATCTTGAACATTGTTATCTGATTGCCTCACAGTAGGCCGGCATTTAAATGCTATACTTGTCCAGCAGCAGTCAATAAAAGATAAAGGCTCCATCTCTATCTCCCCTTTCCCCAACTTCCTCTCTCTCTCCCTCTTTCTAGAATCTTTTGTTTGAGGAAATATAAAATTAATGCCGCAAGTTTTCAGCCATTGAGGAAATGGCCAAAAGACAATGAGACGCCAAACAGAATGGAAGTGCAGAGAAGAGAGGAGAACAGTAGAATAGAGTGGAGAATATAGAATCGACCACCAGGCCGGTCTATAATTAAGCGTTAAAAAGAATGTGCCGCCTAATTGTGGATGTGTCTGGACGCGGCCCTAACACGGAGCCAAAGCCGGACAGCAAAAGCATAAAAAAAAAACAACAGAAATCAAGGAAATGCGACGATGAGATACAAAGAAAAACGAACAAAGGCCACTTAACATCAGTAGAAGGGGAAGTAGAGGCAGAGAGAGAGAGAGGGGCGGAGAGAGGCAGCGGGAGTTGTGTTTATTAAGTGTGGCCAAGCCAATGCCTCTCTCTCCCTCGCTCTCCCTCCATAATTATAAGCGTGAGAATATATTGTAAACAGCGAGAGAGAGCGAGAGAGAGAGAGGCACACACATGTCTAAAAGTCAAGGGAAACAGGTTGAAGTCGAATTTATGTGGAGCAGCAGCATAGGCGGTGCAGGGGGCGGGAGGGGCAGTAGGGCTCTGGCTAAGTGGAGGGTGGCACAATCGACGTTTGCATAGCTAACAAGCCAAAGTGAGCGTTGAAGTCACGTTTTCTATGTCGCTCAGTCTAGACTTTTAGAATCCGTAGATTCTAATGTGAAGTTTGTGTCTTAAGTCTTTTGTTTTGTTCACTCACCTGCTTCAATTGCCATTGCAGCGTGTATACCTGATTTTGCAATATGACAGCCTCGACATTTAACGCTGGCTCCGTTGCTGCAGCCGCTTGCTGCGGCAAGTTGTTGGGTGCGGCAACATGACTGGCATCCTGCAAATGTTGTCAACAGAAAACATAAATGAAAAACCGTGCAAAAAAGGCAACGAAAATACGCGTTAAATTAGTTAAAGCTTTTGCCATCTCAAAAATGTTGTCGCGCCGTTTGGCAATTTGAGCGACGGCAGGCGGCGTCTGGGTGGGCTGGCAACCACATATGCCACATGTGGCAGCCAGTTTCGCATTCGCCAAACCAAAAGCGGAAAATGTGCAATAAAATAGTAACTGCAGCAACAACAACAACAAATATGAGCAACTGTTTGTACAATTAATTAGAGAAATTGTTTCACAATGTTTTTCCACAATTTTCTTTTTTTTTTCTGCATTAAAAATTTATATATTTATTTTCACACTAAATTATAAAAAACAAAAAGCGAAAAATTGTTCGCTATAAATTTCTGGTATACTTAACATTTTTTACATTTAGTCAAGCGCGGCTTTTTATTATATTTGTTGTTGCTGTTGTTATCTGTCTGCCAGAACTCGTTTGTCAGTTATGCGCCATGTTTTTCAGTTTTTCATATAACCACATTTTTATATATATACATATATATATATGTTATATATAGTTTTGGGCTTTATTTTTTATGCATCTGGTTTACTTTTTCTTTTTTTATAACGTCATTTTTTCAAAGACTTTGACCCACAATACAAAATGAAAATCTAAATAATAAACTGGACTAGCTGAGCTGACTTGAGCTCTAAAGCAATGTTAATTATATTGAACTTGTGTTTCAACTTTATAATATTTTAAATATATTTTCAAAATAATTTTTGGCTTTTCCCATATTTCAACGTTTGACATTTCTGCAAATATTTCCATATTCTTTATCGTCTATAACACTGTAACTTCTCTTTATTCCCAGTTCAGTTCAATTTGAATTTTGTTTAAACTGCAAATTGGAGTTTGCTGCAGTCTGAATTGATTGCTGCGAATTTTGCAGCGCTGCGGTTAGCATTTGTGGTCAATGCACCACGCCTAGCGCCCACTCTATGCAGAAAAACCACAAGTTGAACGCTTATTAATTAAGATTTTAATTTGCATTATCTGTTTGTGGGTTTTGCTATGGTCAACATTTGCATAAAAGTGCATTAACTAATTAATGCATCTATATATATATATATACAAATATATTTATATTCATATCGATTTTTATATATATAATTACTATTTGTGGCTAGACAGGCGGCATATGAAAGAGACGAGAGAGAGAGTGAGAGACTCAGCTTCAGCCAGAGCGGAAATTAAAAGATACCTAAAAGGCGAACATAAAGTCTTTGAGGTGCTCCACTTAGAATATAAAAGATATTCTTGAACAAATTATTCACTAATTTAGATGAGCCTGAAATGCAACAAAATCTTAGAACTAAGTTAAGTTTAGGGCTTAATTATCTGTTATTTTTAAATAATTTTTATTGACCTTAAAATATTTTTAATTTAAATAAGATTAGGATGTAGATATAGTTAAGCAATTGAGCAACTAATTTGTGTATATATATTATATATATATATATAAATGACACCAGTGGTTTAAGGAAATTACTTTGGCTAAACTATCTAAAGCTTATATATATTTTTTTTTATATACAAACAAGCTTTGGCAAGCTTTCTGAAATTGTTAATAATTTTTAACATTTGCAAGCTTTGATGTAAAAAAAACTGGTTGAAGTACTAAAAAAACAAAACATAATTTCTTATATAAATTTTTTTATTTTGTTTAGTACAGCAAAAAATACTAATAAACACATAACTTGTTATATATGTACATAACAAAGTTTAAAAAATATATTTAAAAATGTATATAAAAATTATACAGAAATATATATAATAAAATAAATATAGAAAAAATGTTTTGAAAATTTAAAAAAAAAAACAGAATATATAAAAAGACAAAATATAATAACTATTATATATATATTTTTTTTATATTTAAAGGAATATATATTTTCTTAAATCATTAACTATATACTTAATTTACATAATTTTGCTTATAATTATTTTTTTTTTTTTATATATTTTTTTGTGTACCTGCTATAGTTTTTTTTAATTATATTTTTTTTCATTATAAGATGCATGCAAAGTTGCATTATTATGCTAATCGAGTGTTGATGAGCATTATATAAATGCAATTTACTTGTAGCTCGTGTGACGCTTTTAAAGTTCATTTCCCAAAGTTTTTAGAAATATTTAAAACATGAGATTAAACTGCTGCAGCCGTAAACTAATCTGCATATAGTTGAGTTACTTGTCCGGGTTCTAACTGCCTCATCTCTAACTCTTCCTCTCTGCCCCCACGAACTCTCATCAGAAATCTAATTAAAATGCGCGTTACAATTCGCATAAATAGAAGTCGACCTCATTGCAAATGGCTTTGGCATGCAAATTTGCCAACAAATGTCAATTGCTGCTGCTTCTGCTGCTGCCAGCAACTATAACAGGGAGCTGGTGGCAAGTGGCTGTTGCAGTTGCAGTTGCTGCCGCATCAATGTGCTGCTGTGCAATGAAACCTCAGCAAAGCAGCTACCAAAGAAATCTACATTTTAAATCAACGCCAAACAACAACAGCAACGGCAGCAGCAATAGCAACAGCAACAACAATAAACAATTCCATGCTCCAGTAATTTTTGTTGCCTGGCCAACAACAACAAGGGCTTACCCACATGTGGCACAGTGAAGATTCCCAGGCACAGATGCGGCTAGATTACCAACTTGTTATTTAAATTGTTTTGCACTAAAGTCTGCTGTGTAGAAGAGTGTGAGGGAGAGGCAGCGAGTCAGACAGTCAGCGGGGGTGCTAAAACCGTCAAGTAGCTCAAATGAGAGAAAAAAGGGCCAAATAACAACAACAACGACAACAAAAGTTTAGAGCGAAATGCCTGGGCATGTTATAAAGCTGTTTAGCTACCAAGGCAGGTTGGTTGGTTCTGTCGTGATGATGAAGTTAAATGATGTTGATTAAACAGATGTGTGCACAATGAAGTTGTTGCTGTTGCTGGGCCAGGCAGCAGCTAGAGATAGAGGCCGAACAGGAAGTTGTCTGCAGCAACAGCAGCAGCAGCAGCAGCAGTTGGCAAAGGGAAAAAATTTTATTTTAATTTAAATTAACTGAAACTGGAACAGCTAGACATGTACATAATCTATATACGAGCAGATATATATATATGTATATATATATATTTATATATTTTATATTTACATATAACTGTGTGAGCTAGCTGAATAACTCAACTGACAGATTGACTACATATGTATGTATGGATAAGCTGGAGAGTAGATGGAGCTGTAGAAGTGGTTGAAGGAGTAGAAGTAAGAGTAGAAATAGAAAGAGGAGTAGGGGTAAACAGAGGAGTAGGAATAGAAAGATTAGTAGGAGTAGACAGAGAAGTAAGAGTAAGAATAGAAGTAGAAGTAGACAGAGGAGTAGGAATAGAAAAAGGAGTAGGAATAGACAGAGAATTAGGAGTAGACAGAGGAGTAGGAATAGAAAAAGGAGTAGGAAAAGACAGAGGATTAGGAGTAGACAGAGGAGTTGGAGGATGCAGAGGAGTAAGAGTAAGCGTAAGAATAGGAGTAGAAGTAGAAAGAAAAGTATAAATATAAGGAGCAGTTGATGGAGATAGTGCGCAAGGAATTAAATTAGAAGCAGGATTAGTAGTAGAAGGAACAGTGCCAACAGAATGAGTAGAAGTTGTAATAAGAGGAAGACTACTAACAATTGTAGAAAAAAAGTTGAAGTCAAAGCAGTTCAAAATTGATGTTAAGCACTTTTAACACGTAAGACACTGTTATGCTACTGTCACTGCATAAGATAGAGTAGTTTGCATTTCAAAGTTAACATAATAAGCATAACAGTGCTGCTTACATTAACAGCTGTGACACTATAACCTGATGCCAGCGCAGCTTCTATGAGTCGTAGGCTAAACTCCAGCATTAGCAGCAGCCACTTTAAAATGCCGATTCGTTTCGTTTGCAACACGTTTCAAGTGATGTTGCTTACACAATGCAAATAGGCATAAATATAGACTGTAGCATATCATATATGGCATATCTAAAGCCATTGTTAAATACGCTTTGTTTCAGCAATGCGGCTGAGCAGTTTAAAGGCCACAAAAGACTTGACTTGAGTTGGCCAACAGCTGGGCAGCAATTCAAATTGATGTCATTACAATTATGCACACTCCGAAATTAAAGGAAGACAACAAAATGAACTACTAAAAAGCCGCCCACAGACAAACTAAAGTATGAAGTTTTGAAATTTGCAGCTGAATAAAACAGAAATTGTGGGGGGACAAAAACTCTTAAAAAATTGTTGTTACATTATCATTAGAGTAAAATCTGCATTTGGCACAACTTTCTCACATGAGTGACCGCAGCAACAGCAACAGCAACAGCAACGACAATAACATTGACAACTAACTTGAAACTTCAATTGTTTGTCCAGCATTTGTTTTCGCAATCAACTCGTTAAAAGTGATTGCTGTTTATTATTGAGCATAATTGCATAGCATTTTTATTATTATTATTATTACTATTACTCCTATTGCTACTATTACTATTATCATAATTGTCTCCTTTACACTGCCAGAGCTATAGCTGACAGGCCAAGCTGTCTTTGAGTCGAAAATTAGGTTACGCATACGCCACGTTATTATTGCCATTAGCACTTCATTTCATTTCATTTCATTTCGTGTGTGTGCATCAAAGAGACAAACTCAGCTGCATAGCTAAAGTGCACGCGCTGCGAAGTGGAACGCATTTCGATATCCGCCAGAGAGCAGCTACTATATAGTTATATATATGTCTGTCTATGAGCAACTGACAGCAGCTTCTTTGCCTTCTTTTTGTCAACACATTGGCTGACCTTCAGCAGGCAACGCTTTGCTGATTAACTAGCCAGCTTCAATCAGTCAATCACTCAATCTGTCAATCTATCTCAAATACACCTGTCAGCTGTGTCGTCTTCCCTTTTTCATGGGCAATTGTATTGACAGTT